TGGGTAATAATATCTGCCAATTTGTCTGACATTTTGGAGCGAAAGTTATATTGAAAAGTTACAAGTGCGTATTTGCGTAATCGATTTGCACAGTTTTTCGGAAATTTTGTACAAACCGAAACTTTTGTGTTCATTACAAAATTTATTACTTTTGGTATTTAAAGTAAAAAATATTATTATTACTAGATAGAAACACTTTATACACAGTTTTGGTTCTTTAATAATATTAAAATAAAAGGGAGGAGAATTAGTAAATTTATACTTGCATTATATTTAAGCTTACCTAAAATTGATCCTGGTTTTGGACAACTTATTCCTTCCTGTCTATCGGGAGGAAGATATTTCGAATAATATAATTTTGGGTTACCATCTTTTCTATTTACTTTAAGTTGAAAGTCTTCAAAAGGAAGAAATTTTTTGAAACCGCACTTTTTAACATTAGCTTACATGTATAGCAATGGTGCATTGTGGGGCCCCTATACGGACCTATAATATGGTCTATAATTCCCTAGAAATATTTTACAAGGTAGAACCATGGTATTATGGGCCAATTTGAACGGGAGATAGGGACATTTTTGAAATAGTACATTTTTAGATTTAAATTAAATCCTATTGCAAGATCCAGAGTTTGAATTTGTAAAAATACTCCCATTAATTTTTTTAGAACACAAATCACTTATTTCAGCATTTTGACGAAAGAATTTTAAAGGACAAGAAGAACAATATTGATAAATCCCAAAACGTAGGAAAGATCGCATAATTAATTGATATCTTATTACAAATTTAAACAAACCGTTTGAACTTCAAGCAATATATTGGCATAAGTAATGAGCCAAGATTTAAAAAAATTATCTGATCTGTTAGAGAATCAAAGTGGAATACAATAAGAAACAGGTAAATATTTATGTTTAACAAAACAAAGGGAAACACTTAAAAGTAAATACAAAACCTGGCGATTCTGATATAAGTTTGGCGAATACTTATTCAGCCGATCTTTAACCTTTATTTACCGGTTTTATATCCTAAAAACACTCAAAATTGCTAAATAAATTTTTGAATGGTATCTAAAGATCATATTTTAAATTAATATCTACTTAATAAATCCAATTTTCAATTAAAATTCTTATATTTGATTCATTGATAAATCTGTACAACCAAACACCAAAACTTATTAGATTATTTATTTAAAAAAAAAAAAAAAAAAAGCATAAACAAGCATTTAGAAACCATTTTTAACAACTTGAAATCGTTTATATATTACATATATAAGCAAATAAATTCAATAAATTATAAATAAAAGTTGCCAGTTATGTCGTCTTACCTATTTAAATATAATATAAATTAAGCAAATAATGAAAGGACAGTAAATAATGGAGAGAGTACAGAGGTTACCTCAAAAGCAGTGTACAAACTTGGAGGAGAATTAAAGATCATAGATAGGAGTATATAACAATAAACCAAAAAGGTGAAAAGATAGTAAACATGTGGCTTGAGAGGTAATAAAAGCTTAAAATTATTATTCGAAAAAAATTTGTTAATGTTAACAATATGAGAACTGCAAAAATTAATTCTGAATTATAATTTGCAAAATAAACTTTGTCTTGTTACTCTAATTAAATACTAACGTATGTACGGTGTTGCTTGCAATAACTGACGTCACTTACCTGTTCGTTGGAAATCCATCAATGATCAATAAATTATACCGATGGCAAACAATAAGATTATGTTTCTACTGGGATGAGAATATTTATTGTCTAATAGGAATGGTGCAAACTACAATTAACTGATTTATTCCTCTCAATGACATAGTTCAGCTTCTGGTTTAGACATCTCCATACTAATTTACTAACATAGTTCGTCCTTAGTACCATATTCACATTGATCATTAAATTTATCTGACATAACGGATAAAAAATAATTGCATATTAAAGAATGAGCAATGAACTTCTTTTTTAATGAGAGTGATAAACTATAAAACATCATTGGTTTTACCTTTAAAATAGTATTTAAGAATTTAAGAGAAAAAAAAAAAGAAAAAAAAAAAAAAAAAANAAAAAAAAAAAAAAAAAAAAAAAAAAAAAAAAAAAAAAAAAAAAGAACTATCTGTAGCTTAGAATTTTATCAATGGCTTGTTGGCGTGGAAAGAGTTGCAACCAATAAAAAAATATTCAATTTTTCAAACGATTTATTTGAAATTTTTGAACAATTCTTAGGACAGGAGGCTAAATTTAACCCATTAACCCACTGTCCAAATTTCCGGACGCTTGCATAAACGGAACTGAAGTTATAAGAGGGACACACACATACGCCCTACCACAAGCTCTTAATTTTATTCTTACTAATAACGTTTACAAATAATGAAATTAACGGTTTGAGTTTTTGAACTAATAATGCTACTTGAAATTTATTCAACTATTAATTATATTGATTAGATAATCTATTATATATAATTCTCTTACCTGACTCCCAGATTTTGGCTGTATTTCTTTTCTGCTGGTGGCAACAGTTTTCATACAACTAATTAAGATTCTTTTCTCAACACTTAAATATTTACTTTATTTTCTTCATATATACAGAGAACAGTCGACAAAGAATTCTGTTAGGTCAAAAAACATTTCGCTAAAAAAAGAACGAATTCTAAAAGAAATAAAAATAAACAACTTAAAAAATATAAATGCTGCTGCCAGCCATAGAATTTTTTGAAAGTCAACTTAGCAACATAATTCAAAATGACATAGAAGCGTAACTAGATCAAAATTATGATACCTGAGCGTTTGACATAACAAATCCTTCAATTCTATAAGTGTTGTATCGCCAAATGCCCGGATTAACAATTGTGTTTTTAAAGAAATTCCATAAAAAATTTTAAATAAAAAAACTTCTATCCAGCTACTTCTACAACTGCTTCTTGAGGAACTTGGCTCATTGATTTAAAATATTGTTTTAATTTTACAGTACTGACTTTATTTCGACTTACATTATTGCTATGACCCTCTTTCATTACATTTTACAACTTCATGCTAAATTTGAGGACTTAAGTTGTTTTGTGGTTGAATACTGACGTTTAAAAATGTGTACATAAAAGAAATAATATTTAGAGGTTAAGAGTAGCCTCAGAAAAATTTGAATTGTTGACACTGAATTTAATAATGGAAACAATCGCTTTTGTGAAAAATTGAATTGTATTGCTGACATCAAAACTAAAAATATTGTGTTTCAACTTAACAATACTACCTTAATTTTTACTTTAGAATTGCCTCGGAGAAATTTGAATTGTTAGCAATGACTTAAACAAAAAGTTTTATTTTAACTGACAAATACTATATTATAATTTTAACTTTTTCTATGACTATACTCATTTTCTTACTCTTTTCTTTGTTTTTTATACATTTTATATTTTTGTGATAAAATAAAAAACTTATAGTTGTTCTGCTTCTGAACACTGATGAAAACACAAAATGATGGGCTTCATCAACAATCAAAAATATATACATTTATTTTACAAATTCCATATTATTAAGGTGGCGCCCTTCAGAGAATTAAAAATACAAAATTATCTTCATCAAAGCCGATGCTTTACATCCGGCGTTCAGTGGCAGACTACTATTTCATATTGTTTTACAACACATGGCTTTAGCCCTCTGGTGGGAAAGACTTTAAAACAAAACTTACAACAGTTACTTTTCTCAACAACTGAAATTTAGAATAGTGTGATTAAGAAAAATATGTGAACTGTTTGCAATTTCAAACTAATATTGAAATGTACAGGTAACCGTCGTTGAACACTTGACCCAATTTTATGGGTTTACGACTACTGATGTTCAACTCCGCAACCTTGTAATTTTGAACCCAATCCAGAAGACAAGGGAACTCCTGGATCGAGTAATGAGAGAAATTTGCTTTCATAGAGAATTTTTTGATTAAACTAACCCGCGTTTGCGCTACATGGAGAGGAAGACAACGTGAACCTCCTACGGTTAGCCTGACGGCAAGGGGACCCATGATCCGCCTACCACTGAGGATATTTCACGTCAGCACTGTGGTCAGTGCAAGCTGGATGCGGAATTCGTATCGACCAGCCATCACTGGGATCGATCCCCTCATTGGAAGGATCCATCCCCTGAGTCATCGCGGCTCAATTATGAAGATTTGAAAAAGCAACTTTCTTCTACTCAAAACTGCAACTTCTACATGAAGATAATTACTATTAATTTTGTATTAATATTTACAAAAACAGCACATACTTATGTATTAGAATATATTGAAGATAATAAGCATGCAGCTGCATTTTAAATCAGTATTTTAAAAATAAAAGAAAACTTCACAGGCATTCTAACATCATGAATGCTATTATAATTTTTTTTCACGGTTTTTTCCAGTGTTTGACCTTAAAAAACACAACCTTGATAAAACCCATCATATTTGTATATAGGCAATTAATTTTTCGTAAATTGCATAATTATTAGTATAAGTATGTTAGTAAAGTAATATATATGCTTGATAAAAAAAAATTTCATTGGTTTCAAAAATATTAAAATGGAAATAAATGTTTCAAACACTCAAAAACAGACTTGCCAAGCGTTAAAGAGCGAAACACTTATGAATTGAAACTAAAAATGTAAAGTTGCCAAAGGACAGAAAAAGACTAGAAAAATTATAGTAAAAATGGTGAGAAACTAATGTTGCTAAGAAGGAATTTTGCCTTAATTCCAGGCCTTCAGGATGCGTTGATGTTACAAGGGTGGAAATAATTTCGGCACTGAATTTACGCTCAATATTCCAACAATGTGCGCAAATGACGATTCGTCGCAATCTCGGTAATCTATCATATTCTTTCATATCAAATTTTAACATTTTTCTGGTTTGTTTGATGTCACACTGGCTGTTTTGAGCTCTTGAAACATGTTCCTATTTGTTACCATTTTCACTTACTTCTTCAACTTTTTGGAATTTTTTTTTTCACTGTTGTTATTAGTAGTTAAAAATTATTTCTTTTTCAGCGCTGGTGTGGGAAGAACTGGAGTTGCAATCTTGATGGATATAATGATGCAAAAGGAAGGCATCGTTGATTTTCCTGCCGAATTAGATTATATGAGACAGCAGAGAGTTAGTGTTATTGAAACGAAGGTATATTTTTAGAATACTTTGTCAAAAGAGCCCTTTATTTTGTCGATTTGGCGCGATTTTGCGGACTGTCGCCGAGAGTAAGTTTAACGTTGATGATCAAAACAACTGAACGAAACAAATGAATAATATCTTAAGAAAGAAAATTAATAATTAACTATAAGAAACTTTTTGCTGATCGAAATAATTTAACATTTTAAATTTGGAAATTAATAATTGAAAAACAAAAGTTGCTGCTTGCAAAAATATATATTTTTTTTAAAGATCCCAAAGAGGAGGTACGATATTAGTATTTAATTGTAGTCTTCGAGGTCATACCACAAAAATTGAAAATAAGAAAAATTTGTATTTATTACATTTCTTCTTCCATTTTATTCAAATAAATAAATAAATAAATAAATAAATAAATAAATAAATAAAGCTTATACTATTATTTTGTACAAGACTTACAATATCCTTTAATTGTTTTGAGTAGTATATTTCAATTGCTCTTTCAACCGTCATTGCTGTGAAATTCTGCTTTGTTCTAAAAAACTCATTATTTTAATACAATATTATGATACGCGAATTTCGAATTCGCTAACTTGCTTTATTATTGCCGATTTCATTGTAAATGTAAGTAATGTTTTGGATCTTTTTTTTTTTTTTAAAGTATATATGACCAACAAATTCTTTGTGATTTTTAATGTTTCAACTCATGAATTAAGATCCCGTATATTTACTACAGTTTCATTACGACATGCGAGTTTTAAATCACTCATTTAAATAATCACTTTTTAACTCCCTTTTTTTGTCCGTTTTTATTGAAAATCTATGTTATTATTTAATTGTTTTTTTGGCAGTTTTTACGATTCAGTCCCTGGTTATTTTAAAAAGTTCGATTTTATTACGACATACGAATTTTAAATCATACATTCAAATAATTACTTATAGATGCTAATTTTATCGTAAATTAAAGAACTTTTTTTCAATTATTGCGTTAATAAATTTAAATAATCCTTTTTGATACCATTTATTTGCGCATATTTCTTCGTTAATATAAGTTATTTTTTAGGGAATTAGCGTCATTCATTTACACGTAGTTATTAGGATTTCGATATTTTAATACAATGTTAATGCAACAAGAAAAATGATAAAAGTAGAGAAAAACTGAATTTTTAAACTGCTTACTGTTTGTAATTTTGTTTTCAAATTTTTGTAGCATAGGAGATTTTTTAAAACGTTTCGTATTCATAAAACCTCTAAAAATTCAAGTAATAACATTAATACCTGAAGAATAATGCGAAATAAACATGGAATATTATTTTATACTATAATGGTTTTTTTCGGTTTTTGTTTATAAATTTTCCTTAATTAAAATATTTAATTCGATTAGATATTATCCATTAAAATGGATATGTATTTTCTTACACTTCATTCAATGAGCATTACAATTTTCATGATATATATATATATATATATATATATATACTAGAGGG